AGGTCGGGGAGGGAGACGTAGGCGTCGCCACTGCCACTGCGTGGACCTGGTTAGGCGCTAAGCTCTTGGGAGATGGTCGCCGGAGATAATGAGCTTTTTAAAAAGGGGGTGTCAGGTTCCGTCTGCCTCAGGGTGAGGGTGAGGGGTGGAGAAAGTGAATTCTGTGCCCTCGTCCCGTCCCGTCCCCCCCCCCGAATTGGTAACTTTTTTATGTGCCTATATATCTTGAATCCTTCGGCTGCGGTTCTCCCGCCACCGAATCCGCACCCATAGGTGCCCTTTGAGGCCTCTGGTGGTGAAGATTTTTGCTTTAGAGCCCTTCAAACCCAGGCTCAAACTCACGTCCAGGTTAACGGGTCCTCGGAATTGCAGAACCCTGCATCCCCCTCACCCCCAATAACAGCACTTTGTGGGAGAGAAAAAAATAAAAACTTGGAATCTCTTCTGCAGTTAATTAAACCTTTGAACACTTCAGAAGTCCACATGGTAAATTACCGTGCGAGCTTGTATCTGTGACTGCAAAAGGAGCCACTGTTGAAAGCAGAGCAACTTTACACCAAGAATCTAATAATGCCATAATCTTACATTTACTGCTTATGTTTTGGAATTGCCATTCACTACACCCGTTGAGGTTGTCATAATGCTAAATTTAAACCAGCAACTTTCTGTCCATCTATATTTTAAAAAATAGTTAATTCTGTTCTTGGAGACCAGGGGCCATGGTGTTCATTAAATAGACATGGGTTTCATTGTGACTTTGTACTTGTTATGTACCTGCTTTGCAGAGATGTGAAGATTAAATAGTATTTAAGTTGGTGGTCACTAAATGGAATTGATTTTTAATCGGTGGCTACCTTTGAGTGAGGTTTGAGTAGTGTATGTTTATCTGTCTCATGTAATCTAAAGTTTTCTACATCTTTAGTCATTTAAGAAACATTATTTAAAAGGCATAGTTCCCAACCTTTTTGGAATTGTTTTACAAAATGATTTTTTTTCAAGATATGTGTAGAAGTATGCAGTGATTAAACTTTTAAAGGTGTAGAAGATATCAGTTATAGGTGAGAAACTTCAGTGTCCTCAGAAGTAATTGACAATACCCTGTGGATTGATATTACTAATATAAATCAGATTCTTGAATATTCCTTTACTGTTTAGTGTGTAGTAATAAGTTAGAGGATGCAAGTTAAAGTGCATCTGTCTTTAATGTTTTCAGGTAAAACTTTTCATTAAATGTCTTTGATTTTGGTTCTTTGTAGTACTAAATGTTGGTGCTGCAGGCATTTGACCAGCTTATATTCAAAATTAATTCCAGAATTATTGAAACAAAAGAGTTTTTTAATATCTGTGAGTTCATTTAAGTTATTCAATGACTTTCTACAGCTCTACTGAAATATTTATATTTTATAAGATTTGTATAGCTCTTTGGGCACTTTGTACATAATCTTTGAGCCCATATTGTATTTGTATAGATTTTTTAACTATTTGCTATTTTCCAGTTTATTTCTAAGGCAATGCATTAGTTATATGAATTATAGAACTTCTAGAAGTTTATATTTTCAGAAAGCTCATTGTTACAAAGTGGTTTCTCTACCTTTTTTTTTTTTCTACTTGTAGAAATGTAAAAACTAACACTTAGTCTGGGGCAAGAAATGAAAACATTTAACCAGCTATATGGGACATTTTAATTAAAGTGAATTGTAGATTTTCATTTAATGACTTTAAATTTCTTAAATGTTTTAAAAATAGAACATTTTATCTTTAGAGTGGTTTTTTAGTTAATACTTTCAAAACAATTTGAATGTAGAATTACAGTAAGAAAAGAAAATAGTGAAGACCATGAGTATAGATCAGGGATGGGGACTTTTTTTCTGCCAAGGGCCATTTAGATATTTATAACAACATTCAGAGGCAATACAAACTTATCAACTTAAAAATGAGCCTGCTATATTTGGTCAAACATTTAATTAACTCACCCCTAATGCCTTGGCAGGGCCAGACCAAATTATTTCTCTAGCCTTATACGGCCCCACCCCTGGAATAGAGAGACTAAGTATCCTGTTCCTAATCTGTTGAGAAAACTAGGTAACCAAGGATATTAGAGATAGTATTCTATATATATGAAAAGCCAGCAGCTAGAACACTGTAACGACTGGAACCACTGGTCACCCACTGCTGCCAGTGGACCGCCCAATCCGGGGTTGGGGCCCGTGGCCAACCTCCCGCAGCCCCTCCTCTCGGCCACCCCGCCCCTGATCAGCCTTTCCCACCCTGATCGAGGGTAGGGTT